GGCTGCGACAGGCGTACAACTTATTTTTACCATAATTTTAAAAACAGCACCGAACCGGTGCCCGAGTTGTTTGAGCTGTTAACTGCTGTCTGAGTGTCCAATTTCCAAAAACCTGTACAATCCGAGATGATATGGAGTCTCAGAGATAATATTAAGTCTAAGCTGGTCCGAGGCCAGCTAGTATGTCACTGACCAGCGCATGTGTAGGATTTCCTTTTCATCAGTGAACAGTGGCAGCCCCCTACAAAACACCGTTCAAACTTTTAAAAAGGCACATTTCACGTTTTGCATCGCATATTGACTTGCGCAGTACAACCGTGCACTCTAACACAGTATTGCTTAACACGCACCCGGGTGGTCGACTAGATACTCTTTTTCGGGTAGGGGTCAATTTGACCCCCCTGATCTCTCAGGAACTAAGAGAGCTAGAGACACAAAATTTACAGGATGTTTTGACCTGCGCGTGCACCCACTTAGATCTAAGTTTGAGGTTTTTAGGTCATGGCCTTCAGATCAAGCAAGGTCGAATTCCAGGTTGGTCTCCAAAGTGCCCCCAGAACCTAGGTAACTATATCTAGGCAAAAGTGCACATGCTCAGTTAAGGTCAGTGACCTTGTTTGACCTCCCGAAGGTCATGGTGACCAATATAATACGAGTTTGCCCAGAGTTTTGCGTTTTAATAAGCAACAAAGGTTACGCCAGGCAGTATCTTCCTAAAAAAATTGACCAGGGTCAACGACCCATTCTGACCTCTAAGAAGTCCATGGAAGATGTATAATGCGGCTTCTGCTATCAATAAATTCGAAGTGAGCACCAGAAATAATCCCATACAGCAAGCCCTAGGGCTATAAAACAGGTTGCTCTTTTCCTTGGCCTGACGTTTATACCTGACCTTAGGTCAACGTAATTTGCTCATTCAATATTTGTGTTGCCTAAGAAAGTATCTCGGAGATGTATGGCTTCGTCTAACACTCCGTTGTTGCATCAGATCAAACGATTCCCTAGAAACTGACTTCGCTGAAACCATGCCCTGACTTTGACCTGCCATAGATCAGTGAGCTTATAAGGTACAGCTAAATCGATTGCACCACATGATCCGCTATTCAGTTGTCTACAACTACGCAGAATTTGGCGCGGCTCTGCCGCGCCGTTCGGGAACCATTCTGGAAAACATTCGGGGGGGTGTCAGTTTGACCCCCCACCCGAGTGTGTTAAGTCACCCGTCTCTGAAAACGTATGTGCACAGGTGAAAAATTGTAAATCTTAAGCAGGCTGCACGTGCTCGGGCGAGTGGTCAAGCTGCCCTCCTTCGCCTCTGATGATTTTTCAGAATAGTTTTTGAAAGATGCCATGCATCCAAGCGATATTTTTCCATATATAGACAATTAGATAACCGATCTTCAATTAACAAATCAGATAGACCTCTTAATATCGCTGGCATGAAGCAGGTCAAAATCAGGCCATGGCTGTCTGTGAGGATAACTCCTAGGGAATTTTTTAAGCTGATCAGACAACGAAGTGTTGACGAAATCATGCGACTTTGAAACCGTTGTATGATTATAGAAAGAAGTCGTAATCCTTATTCCATTTGTGACAATCACACAAATGGAAAAGGAATCACGACTTCTTCCGTTGATGTAAGGTCGATTAAGGTCAGATCGAGGCCGAAACAAAGCCGTGTCTATACAACGATAGCTTGTCTCATGGGCTAGTTTTTGACGGCCATTTCGGATTCTGTGATCACAGTGACGTCAACAGATTCATTTTTGACTTCATTAAGGCCACCTTAGGATTGCTAGGAGGTTACTGACCCAACATGACCTCGATTGACCTTTTGTTTTGAAGACCATGCTGACTAAGGTAGTTCCTGGCGCTCATTGTAACTTGAAACATCAAAAAATTATTAAAGCACTAACCTGACATAAACACAAGAGACCCTTTGCTTGAAAACAGGTATCTTTTTAAAAATGGTTGTGTGACGAAGTCTAAAGGAACTTCAGACACAGACGTCGAATATGACCTTATTTGATCTCATTTGGCCCGCCAGTTGAGACTCATGGGCCTAACAATTTGAGGCAGAAGAGTTATAACGTACCCCTGTCTGCCTTATCAATTTGGTGTCCCTTCCTCGCTTCGTTTTTGAGACATCAGAGTGCAGGTCGGTCAAGTTGACCCAGGCCCACAACAGAGCACGAGTCGCTTTTAACCGGCCACCCGGGAGGGTGCTTCCATTCTGGATTATTCCACGCTGGCCACTTTCTCAGCAAGGAATCTGATACCGCCCCCGTTCAGTGATACATACATTGCATCGTTCTCCGCTGTGTGTCTGATTTGGGCTAAGGCGGTAGATCCTTCAGTCACTTTGTCACTTTAAACATTTGGTTGGCAAAGTGTGTAGATATGTGCTCCCAGCGATGGACCCAAAGCATGAGATTGTGTGTGAAACGTTTGCATTTTGCAGCAGATTGGCAAGTTGACTGAAGCCCCCTCGTTTTGGTTTTATTTCTTTTTAATGGTTACTTGAATGTCATTTAGCTATTAATGCTCTTAATAATTGTCTTATATCTTATGTAATATATAACGTGATCCAATTTGTTACCGAAATATTCTTCATTTTCACTAAAATATGATCTGCCGTACACTGGTGCGCTTGGGCGATGATCTGCTCAGCGCTGAGTTGAAAGTCGCTTACTTCTGACGGTACTCACTTGGGTCTCCCGTACATCTGCCGGCTCTTTTGACCGCCCTCTGTAATCGGCCATGAATACCTCTGCTTTAATGTGCACGCTGCTGCGCTCTGTCTGTATCGTCTGGTATGCCTGCTGCACGGTCTGGCCGCTGACGGTGCTCACTGTGCTCATCAGGCGCGCCGATGCCCCCGGTCATCCTGGGGTACCGCCCGGACGAGCTGCTGCAGGCCGGGGAGCGCGTGACGCTGAGGTGTCTGGCGCGCGGCGGCCGGCCGCGGCCTCAGCTGGTCTGGCTCGGCGGCGGCGGCCGACCGCTGGCCGGACGCCCGCAGACAGCCGGTCACGACACATTCAGCCTGCTGACACTGGCCGTCAAGGCCGCTGACAACGGCAGGACACTGACATGCCGTAGCCGCAGCCGCGCCGACAGCAAGCCACGCGACGCCACCGTCACACTGCGCGTCTCCTGTGAGTTGCACTGTGCGCCTCCTGTGAGTTAATCTCCGCGTCTCCTGTGAGTCAATCTCCGCGTCTCCTGTGGGTTAATCTCCGCGTCTCCTGTGAGTCAGTCTCAGCGTCTTCTCCTGTGATTCACACTCCGGGTCTCTTGCGATTCACACTTCGCGTCTCCTGGGAGTCACACTGCGCGTCACCTGTGAGTTACGCTGCTGCAACATGTGTCACGTGGACCGTACCGTCATACAGCGGACACTGTGAGCTGTGGCGTCACACAGCGGACACCATGAGCTGCGCCGTCACGCAGTGGATGCCGTGAGCCGTGCCGTCACACAGCGCATGGCGAGCGGTCTGCACGCCTTCTGCCCCGTCACTTAACATTGGCCGGGTTATAGGAGCCCTATAGATTCCTGCTGACATTTTCTGGAATAATTATGTGAAAATTCCGAGATCTGGAATCTCATCGGTCACCAACGATGATCCCTCTGTCAAGTCTATGTCGGTTGCGTCTTGCTGTCGAGACGCCCGTTCGCGTGCAATTGTTGCACACCATGCATCCTAAAGAGTTTGGCTGTATTGATTTCCTATGCTCGGTCACAAATTTGTAAGTTATCCTATGGAGAGCATTAGATCAAGTCGCGTTAAGTCCAGCAGAAGTTGCCAAGGAACCTGGAGGCTGGAAGGAGGGGAGCTGACTAGGGAAAGATAGCTGAACTTTACTCGTAATGCAGGAAAGCGATTTTGTCCTCGGATTTCACGCACTTTCATCTCAAAGATGGAAGTGAGGTAGGAGACCCTCGGCTGAATGAAATAATGTACTCCGGAAGCCAAGCTATGTCAACTGTACCAGGATAAGAAATGCAGAGCAATGTTTTCAGTCATATGTCCTGGTGACGTGACTTCAAGACTTGATGGCTTAGAGACTTTTCTCATACGTCATTGTTGACATGACCAAAAACTTAGTTTTGGTTGTGGTAATGTTCTGGTCTTATTTGTTCCGTTAGTTAAATGGCATGGGCCTTCAGCGGCATTCGATTCACTGTCATACTATGAATCGTGGTTGATATAACGGGTTAAGGCCTGTGTACACCAGGCTACCGCAGAATGGCCTGGTTTCACGCCACAGGTACACCCACTAATGTAGCGATATCGGTGCACACATATATGCACCAACGGCGCTGTCTTAGTTGCTGTCGTAGCCAATGTAGATTCGACTATGGATGGGAAGGGCAGATGCACGGAATTTATCCGGTGGCACACACCAAAATCAACTTGCAGTGATGGTCGGCCATACATTCACAGCACGTATTTACAGACCTGTAGCTCACCGACGTCGCTTTTGGCTGGGTTCTGCCTCTCTGATATTTAGATGGCCAGAAAGCCAGGAGCCTCTATCGTTTGTCAGATAGACTACAGAGGCTCGTCCAGCGGATCCAGCTATCTCCTGGCATGTCCTCCCTACTGTCCTGTATGTACAGCGCCATAGCCACTCGCCGTGTGCATCCTAGCTCAGTCTCAGCCGTTTCAGCCATATGATGCACGTGTGCTCTCTGTCAGCTTAGAAACCCGCTATACATCTGCTCGCGGTTGTCCCAAGAAATATGACGCGTCCTCTAGTTTTCTCGATCATCTGCTGTACACGTCGGCCTTTATGCAAGTCACAAACATGGCTCATATTACGTGTGATCTCAGCCATCTGCAGCACCTGCTGGACGTGTGTTTTCACTCTGCCTCAGTTCCGCCCGGTGGGCTGGTGATGACGGTGAGTCCGGACCGTCTGGTGGCCGGCGGCGAGGCCCTGCTGACCTGCCAGTCACGGCCTTCGCTGCCAGCCGCCCAGCTCTCGTGGTGGACAGGCGGCCGCCAGATCAAACACCAGGTCCAGAGCACAGAAACATTTCCAGACGGCCGCAACGGCGGGTAAGAGTGCCCCACGTAGTGCTGCCACTCGGAAAGCGCAGCATCTCTGCCAACATTGTCTGTTGTGAGCACGGCGATTCTACGGAGCCGCTGAGTCTGTCACAAGTAAAAGGCAAAGGTCTTGGTGAACTGAGCACCTGAACACGTCAGACGTGCGTATGCTGGACTCCAAAACACCGCTCCAGTTATAAACACCACCACCACAACAGTACCAATTGATCCCGACCTGTCCATGCGGTACACCGTGACCTCTTCTGACCTCTCCACGATGACACGCCTCTCGTGGCCCTCCCAGGTCCTGACCTGTCCATGTGGTACATTGTGACCTCGTCTGACCTCTCCGCTGTGACACGCCTTTCCTGGCTCACCCCAGGTACGTCACGCGGTCGGTGCTGCGCAGGACTCTCAGCTGGTTGGATGACGGCGCCGAGTTCCGCTGTCAGGCTGACGTCCAGGCTTTGACCGGCACCCTACAGGCGGCCCACAGGCTCAACGTCCAGCGTAAGCCGATGCCGGCTGGCATGCAGTGGCCGGCAGCGCTGTCAGGTCTCAGCCAGCTGCTGTACTCATCAGCCCCGGTATCCAGAGCTGGTCCCGCACGATATCTCCAGGGTCGCTGGTTAGACTGAGGTCATTAGCTTATTAATTTCTTATGCGCTTTGTTGAGAGCCTGTTCACATCACGAGTGATTAAAGACCTCTTACAGGTGCGCCGTTTTCCGGCTCCCCTAAGGATTGTTGCTACCTGATTGGCGTAATAGCATGTCCACCTGATGTCCGCGAAAGTCTGTTTTGTACTTAGTCACACGGTTTTGAATTGAATGGCCTTCCGCGGCCAGAACCCACGCTAAGCAGTGTTGTTACGTGCGTCCTGGCCACACCAGGCGATCAGGAAACTCTAGCTCAAGGACAGAATTTTGTGGCTAAGGCTAAGCGTAGTGCAACGCTCAGCACGGTTCGTCCACCCCTCTGACGTCAGCTGACCTTTAGCGCGGCCGCTACCAACGGCCACAGGCCATTCAATTCAAGGGCAAACAGCGAGCGCTTAAATTGACTTAAACCGGCGCCGCCACGGGTGGGTGAGCCCGAATACAGGCGCCGTAACCAGCTGAGCTAGACGGACGGACGCAGACTGCCGGCACGGACCGGGACGGATGGACACATTGATCTCAAATGGTTGAGAGTGTGTTAATGCCTGACGTTTTAAGTGCTAACACAGTCGTGCCCTCGGCAGACCCTCCCACATTCCGTCCGAAGAACATCAGCGTCACGTCCGTCCGGGGTCAGCACTTGACCTTGAACCTGACGGCGCGGGCCAACCCGGCCGTGCTCTCCTACGTCTGGTCACGTGACACAGTCTCGCCGGCGACCAGTGACGTCACGTTGACGTCAGCGGACGGCGTGATGAACCTGACGTCGGTTAAAAGGGAGGACAGCGGCTGGTACCAGCTGCAGGCGACGAACGCGCTTGGCTCTGCCACCGCCCGGGTCCACGTTGATGTTCTCTGTAAGTGCTCACCGTTTATGACTTAAAGTCATAGTCTCTGTGAGCATAGGCTATCCACGACTCAAAGCGCTGCTCTTCGTGGCCATAAGTGCCCTACCGCTGCCCTGGGTGCGCCACTTTCACGCCAGTAAATGTTTTTGTCCAGGGCATATGGGGCCACTGCAAGGTGATATTCACCTGTGCCTGCCTCGAGGTACGCCTGTCTGTTGCTGATGTCCTGTCTGCATACTTTTCAAGGACTGAACCACGTTCGTACTCTTAAGATATGCCCACATTTGTGACAATTGCATGAATAACCACGGCACGAGACGAGTACGAATGTATTTTGTGGTCAACCATAATCTTTCCTTGGAATTGGGGATTGTAGACCAACTCACGAAACAAGCTGCATTAATCTCAGCTTCCCCAGACGAAGGCTATTTGATTAGCGGCGTCCATCACGCTCATCCCTCTGTCGTAGTTCAGGTCAGCCGAATGCGATCACATCGCTGCATTCTGCCCGGTCAGACCCGCCTGAGATCATCAAGCGTTCGTCGGTGACGGTGGCGCGCCGGGGCGAGCCGGTGGCGCTCCGCTGCCGGGCCGAGGCCAACCCCCTGACGCCCGCCATGTTCCGATGGTCCCGGCCCGCACACCGGCTCGTCAACGTCTCCACCAGCTACGCCAACAGCACGTCCACGCTGACCGTCCACAGCGCCGGCCCGGACAGTGCCGGCGACTTCGAGTGCTTTGTCGAGAACAAGCTGGGCTATGACGTGGCGCGTTTCTCGATCGTCATTGAAGGTGGGGAACTAACTCTTTTGCAGTGCAGTGCCCATCTCCCCATAGTGTAACGAAAGTTTCTAAGCTCAACTGGGATCCAGAACTCTTTTTCTGTGGGCTCAGACTGGAGTGCCTTGTGGCCACTGGGGAAAACAAAATGTTCTTGTGTTGCTTTCCAGCCCACTGTTCTTTGAAACTAGAGGCAGCTGCTGAGATTTACAGCGGGGTTGTTTCATTACTTTTGTGTGTTTTCTTTCTGCATCTTGCATAGCGTGCGACACAAGACAAATAGCAGCCACAGAGTCATTGAGATCAAAGTTTGGAGGCGCAAAGCGCCAATGCCAAAGCTGGAATTAGAATATATAGCATGCAAACATGTTAATTGCTCGTTAAATCACACGAAAATGCCTTCCTTACAAGCTTTCTCACAGTTGGTGAGCCGGTTCAACTAACCTTCTAACTAGCCCTTCCACGGATGCAGTCATGTGCAGCCGCCTGGCTCCGACTGCGACGGCCACACTCGACCTGTTGTGACGGGATTCCTCTCTACCACGCTGGCGCGCCCGGACTGCGCTCGCTCCGATTCCTCCTTACCATCGCTTTCACAAACCGCGATGGGTGCATACGCAGTGCTCACGAGGCGGGACGCTACAGCTTAGACCGGCGACCACAGCGTATCAGACGTGTTCGGCCGCCAGCGCGAGCGCACGATAGGTATTCATACACCCACTAGGGGCGGCTGTCGCCACGTGCGCGACGTCCCGGTTCGCGCCCGCCCGTCCAGTGAGCACAGCACCAGCGACCAGCGGTGTCGCCCGCTGCCACCAGAGGCAGCCCACATTGTGAAGAGCGCCAGGCTGGCCAAGGCGGCCGCGAGTCCGGGAGAGACGTGTCACGTGACCTGCCGGGCCGTCGGCGCGCCGGACGTCTCGTTCAGCTGGTCCCGGCATGGTGACGTCATCAGTGTGCCGGCCGGCGGCGGGAGGCGCCGACTGCAGCGAAAACAGGTGAGAGCTCCGGGTGGCTTTGCCGCGGGCCTGACTGCCGAGGCTGTAGATGGTGGCATTTGTTTCAAGCAAGCTCTTGTTAGTTTAGTGACCGTTGTCCCTCTGTGCGAATGAAGTGACCAGACGCACGCATAAGAAAACAACAGGCAGATGGCTACACGGCACCACGGTCTCGCTTAAATTAACCCCCGTTAGGCGGGGAGGTCGCACGACCTCTGCTAGTATTTCAGGCGTATGTTTTGCAGCACTCACCATAAAATGTCAAAATTGCTATATGTGGTGTTATTGTGCGGAGTGTGCGCCCTCGCCCTCGTTGTCCTCCGAGCTCTGCATCTGACTGGGTGCCGGGGGACGTCATGCGACTGTGGGTCCCCGGATTCGCCGGGGGTCAAGGCTCGGCCGCTGAGGCGGCGGCAGGGACCAGACGCTCGCAGGTGCCAGTTGGTCTTTGGACAAGTCCAGGCGGATACCCGATACGTTCTCTTACTCTACATATCCGTGTTAAGCACTTTTCCTCAGCCTGAAAAAGTGGAAGGCTCGATCTGTGATAGACCACGAGTCATGACCCCTTTGTCGAGTTCGTGTGGGTCACATTTTGCGTGCAGGCGCTCGATTAGATGCGTTTGCTGCAGATAACGATTTTCAACGCCCTTCTTGGATGCCTTGCTGTATGTTATTACGTTCCATGATGATGCGATTGCATATAACTTAGACAGGTCATGGAAGGTCAAGCTAAGTAAAATATCAAAAGTAGCACATTTTGCGGTGAAGATTTTTCACCTTTCCTTACCTGGTTTTACATCACTAGGTTACAAAACCGGATATGGGATGCGGTTCGAGACCTGCCGCCCAGCATCGACCAACCCGTTGCCACACGATACTGACTCCCTGATGGTACGAGATTAGAACTGAGAGCTCGGGGCCTGACGTGTGTGACCGGATCTGAACTGTGGCATGTCTCGCCCGCTGGCTGCTCATCACTGGCGTACGCTTCAAAGTGCTAGGGCCTGCATAAACTTACCTTCACCGCTGCCACGGCATACATAGTTGAAAAAGGACCGGACTCACCTGTTTTGCCCTGCCGAACTGGTTTGAACCGTCGAAGGGCAGTTTCATTGTTGCCCAATCACACTCGTCTGATGCAGTTTTATCCGGGCTTTACAGGAAGGCTTTTCGCTTGATTCTAACAGAATTCCGCCCAGAGAGAGCACAGGGGAAAAAGTGTAATAACGTAACGCGTAATTATGTATGACGTAGGCCAACATGTTTGTGCAGTTGCTTAAATATCGCATGGCTATCATTGGGGCTACATAATATCAGTTAACAAGGGCTAGCCATCGTCAAAAGAATTGAGCCTGATGAAAAATGGGATAACTGCGTGAACTGAAATTTGCGACGTACTGTCCTGATTCGTATGGTATCTCTCCATTTAGGTTTAGTTTTCTCTTAACGGCGTGTCATTTGCACAATAACGTTTAAACACACATTTAAAGGTAAGCACCAGCTTGCAACTTTTTAGTTTCGGTAGTGTTGTAGTTTCCAGTACTGCGGCTGAAGACAAATCAAATAGTAAAAACAGTACATTGTACGTTCAAGAATGATTGGAGCATTATTGTCTGTCTGAGGTAACAGCTGAGTGCTCAATCTAAAGAAAAACATATTTCGGAAACTTTTAGATGGGTTTGTCTCTATAATGAAAAGGTTTATGTGTTTACAGCTTAACAGTCCTACACCAAAGGTCAATTCCCCAACTACCAGACGCCACAGTTGCTCGGCGACCGAATGAATCGACACTACTCGGAGCGTTACGTAAAGGGGCGAGCATTGCCTCTGGGAAATCTATGATACTTGCAAAGTTTGTGGAAAAATATGCTAATCAAAGAGAAGCCAGGGCTGTGGAGTTCAGTACCCTGTGGTGCACGCCCTTCCTGCCTGGTTGAGAGGCAGGAGACGCCATATAGCCTCAGCAGCTGAGTGCGTCGTAAAGCCCCAATGGCACACCAATGGGGTCGAATGACCCAGCAAACTCGCCACATGCGTTGGGGCGAGGCGGTGGAGCTGGTGACTGTGGAGAAATCCTTATTCCTGGGCCGAAGCTTACATCTCCCTTCCCCATGCACTGGAATGCTTTAAAGGGAGTGCTCCACATTGGTATGGGGTTTTGAGTTGTGCTAGCCATGTTGAAGATCATCGAGTGCAGTTCACAGCCCCGTCCTTCTTGAGACCTAAACTTCTCCAGTTTCTGAGGTACACGGCCGCCGCGAAGATGGGCAGACTATTGCGGGGAGACCATTTTGAGGTCATCCAAGGCATCCATGACCCAATAAAAACGTCGTTCAAATCCTGCCATTCCATAAGCCATGCGATGATCAAGGCCAATAAAAGTGCAGTTGCCGGGTCGTTCATATCTGGCGTCCGTGAGCATGATTTTCGGATGGAACGGTCGTCGATTGGCTCTCAATCAATGGTAAGCGAGATACATAGCGAAATCAAGCAATGGCGTATTTGGGAGGATATTTACTAAGCAAAGAAACTGCGTTGGCAAAAGCAACATTTCCAATTAAAAGTACACTTATAGTTATTACTGAACGTTCTTCACCACATGTGACATTTGGTTCAATGACTAATTTGGGAGTATTCACTTTAAACATCGCCTTTTTATTGCAGCATGGTAATGCACGGTCTGATGCTATTTATTGTATGGTGAATTTATCCCAAACGGACCGCCGAACATTTGTTGGCGATCTTTTCTTTGCCGGATTTTGTCTTATGTGTGTTTGTCCTGGCGTTTTGTCAGCAAGATGATATCTTCGTATGCTGTTTTTTCTGTGCTCGGGCTGTGCAGGATCACATCGTGCGAAGTGAGACGCGCCTTAGTTACGTATACTTGCAGCGGGCTTTTCGCCTAGTAGGTGGCGTTCCCCGTCCAGAACGAAATTACGGCCGACATTGGGTGTCGTACCATTTCTCCCCAGCTTGACCTGTCGACGTGGGCGACGGTTCTGGAGATCAGGGACGTCCGAGCCTCAGACTACGGTGCCTATAGTTGTACAGCCACCAACCGGCTGGGCTCGGACACGCACACCGTGCAGCTGGTGCTGCCCTCTGTGCCGGACCCTCCACTGGACCTGCGGGTGCTCAACGTCTCCTCTCAGGCTATCACGCTGGCCTGGACGCCTGGCTTCGACGGAGGCTTTATACAGGTCAGCCCAGGGCGTACGGCCATGACGGCAAATCCTGAAAGCATGCATCTGCCGCTTGTGTTTCTGATAACGCGAACGCACCGTTATCGAACGTGATGATGATGCGAAAGAAATGAAAACGGCAGCTGCGGGGCAGCTGCCGTTTTCTTTTCTTCTTTTCATTAACTTTTGCGCCATCTTGATTGCAAGCAATGGACACAGGTTCTCAGCCATAATCGTAGGTATGTTTCATGAACCTATGTTAATAGATTTAACGGTATATTTAACCCCACTGGTATTCGTGGCAGCTCTGGCCACATGTCTGGACGGGTCACTGAACAAGACGGCGACCCGTCAGTAAGTGATCGGGTTGGACGCGCTATGTCGCTGACTGGTCTTTCGCTGAACGACTGCTGCTCAGAAGCCAGCGCATGATACCGTTCTGGGTCGGCAGGGTTTCCGTTTTCGCTACTCTGAGAGTGGCTCTCCGCAGCCGACGGTTCAGGACGGTGACCCGACCTCGGTCCGGTTCACTATCGGCGGCCTGCGGCCCGACACCGGCTACCAGTTCTCAGTGGCCGGCTACAGCCAGCTGGGCGTGGGCCGGTACACAGAGCCGCCGCTCGCCGTCAGGACCAGCGGTGAGTCCGGCGGGTCGAGGCCAGCGACGAATCCGGCGTGTCAACACCAGTGATGAGTCCGACTCGGCAGGATCGATGATGAGCGTGGCTAGTCAACGCCCGTGGCTGGTCAGCACACGTGGCTAGTCAGCGCCGTGTCTGGTCAGCGCACGAGGCTGTCAGCACCTATTGCTAGTCAGCATTCTTGTCTGGTCAGCATACATGTCTAGATGGCCCCGAAAGCCATGATTGGTTTCACGTGCATAGTTGGTGGCAAGAATGCCCCTGGTTCACCCAGTAATGACACGTAATGCAATGTAATGACCGAAAAAGCAACAGTAATGGAGTACGCGGACACGGCATTGGTACTGCATGGCACCCCTCCCAGGAATGAAAGCAAATCTCCATAGCTTAAGGATCGTGACTGGTTGAAAGCCAAGGTACAGGGATGGGTCTCTGCTATGACCGATGAGCGGCCCCAGTTCAGTGCAGTAGACTTGTTAGGCGTACATCACTTGCCATGGTATTGATCCGCACTACAACAGGAGGCTCTGATTTAGACCAAGCAGAGATCCCATTTATTTCCAGGGGAACACCCTGTCGTCATCAGCATCAGCGGTGCAGACACCTTGACCGATCAAGCAGAGGAGAAGCCTATTAGCGCATATATTTTGGAAAGCTGAGGTTCGATGTCAAATTAGAAGTCTCTCGCCATGATGAACCCGAGCATGATGTGTTCAGGCGCTTGCCTCTTTCGACTGGGAGGAGTGTCTTCTATGACTGGGAGTTTGTCTCTACCACGACTGGAGCGAGGCCCTTGTCAGCGAGGGAATGTTCTAACATAGTAGGGGTCCTTAGTGATATTGGATGGCTGAGAGCGAAGGCAATAAAAGACGCGTCCGTCATGGATATGGCATCATATTTTTTGTCTTCTGATATATGGTAAGTTTGGAGGCAATATCAGATCCCATTTGTCACCAGATTTTAACCAGGGAAGGAGGCCCATTTTGATGTTGCGATATTACAGAGGTCAGCGGTGCAGACGTCTTGACTGGTCTGGAAGAGAAGAAGAGCAAGAGAGTTCGTTATGGTGCATATGATCTGCATGTAACAAAGCTCGAGGCCCTCTTCAGACTATGAGGAGGTCCCTCCTTGACTGGATCTCGAAATCGTGCTAGTTATAAGGCTTCAATATGTTTAAGTGTTTGTCCGGTCAGGTATCGTGCAGTGCGGTGTGAGGATGAAAAGCACTACTTGGCCTGCCTTGTACAACATGGATACATTGCAACTCGAGGTTCGTGAGTCTCTCAGGCATATGTATAAGAGTTGCATTGCATATGACGGGCGTGACCTTGAAGTTCATTAGCGCTGACATTGCAATGAATTGCTAGCGCCTCAAGCGTGGTTGTTTCCACATTGATTACATGTTGGCTTGCACGTTTGTTAAAGAAAGTTTCGATGTGATCGCATCATAGAAAACTATCTATCTTCTACTATCATCGTCATGGTCATTTGTCCTGTAAAATCTATACACGCAGGGTGATGCAGTGAAGTAATGCAATGTGAATAGTTGACGAGGGTGGTCAAGACGGCCATGCGCAGGGAGACCTCGTAACCTGAGAGGTCCCACGGATGGTGCTCACCCAAGAATAGTGGCACACCCACCCATCCAAAAGTTCGTAGGTCCGTTCCGTATGATGCCACCGGATTTATCTGCTTGGACAGAACGGTAGGCATATATGAACAGAACAATCTGCCATAATTTTTGGTGATCAGGTTTTAAATCAGTTTGGTACCAATGCTTCAAGGAAGCGTTCCACATTTGTGTGGGTTTTGAACCGAGATGGACATTTTCAAGATCATTCGTTGCAAATCCCAGCCATGGTTTCTATGACTTCAAACTCGTTTGTTTCTGAGAATGTTGTTAGCGAATTCCTGCAAACGGATAATCAAATGACTTAAAAAGCGACACAACCGAAATGCAAATGCAGTGAGAAAACGGGCCATCGCTTGAAATATGCAAGACCACTACCGAAAAAGGCCAAGACACAGGCACGTAAAGATCGTGGCATAAATTTACACATCTAGACCATCAACGCAGATCCAATAACGCCAAGGTGTTCTAGCCAGACGAACAGTCAGATCACATGGAAACCACTCTAACATGGCGTCACTAGTCCAATAAACACAAGTTTAGTGACCTGACCTCCCGCTGGCACAGGCACGCCGCCAGTGGGCTACGTCACATGACGTCACACCAAACATGAACGTCACTGGCCCCATGAACACAACTTCAGTAACCAGACCTCCCCTGGCATAGGCACGCCGCCGGTGGGCTACGTCACGGACCGGGAGGAGCCGGCGGAGGCGCCCTACCCCCGGCTGACGGTGGTGCTGGCCGCCGTCTGCGGCGTCGTGCTGCTGCTGCTGCTGAATGTGCTGCTGATCAGCTGCGGCTACCGCCGGCGCCGCCGGAAGCTACGCGCGCAAGGTCAGCAGGCGGCCGTCGCGGGAAGCCGCTCATGGAGTCTGGTAGTCAGTGTACTTCACACACGCATGCCCACAGCTGGGGATCTGAGGTATGAGGCTTTTTCTTCGTACAGGGAAAACACGTTCTAATGTTCGCCTCACAACACGTGTCGCTCTTACAGAACTATTTGCACCATGCAGTGGCCACTCGTCGAGGAGGGGGGGGGGGGGGGGGGTGGCAAGCGAGATGCTTAATGTGTGGCTGGCGTTTTAGGCGGGTGCCGCGATAACATGGACGCTTGTGTTACAGGGCCCGGTGAGGGGTGCACCGGCCCGAAGCCAACTCAGACGCAGGGGAGCCAATCGCGAGGCTCCATTTCATTCAGGAGCTCTCGGAGCAACTCTCTGGAGGGCTATGCTGACAAGGTGGCTGACTTTATCCTAATGTGCTTTTGTCGACCTGGCTGTGAAGCTTAGCGGGAAGTTTCTGGGTTATTTACCCCGATGAGAAGCTGTTTGTTATGGACCACACTCCTACCCTCGTAACCAAACACAGAATTGCGATGATTTAAACGGCAATCCGTGGTCTCAGCAATCTTATTGAGGGAGGCCTGAGTTTGGTGGCATAGAGTTTACCATTGTGATGACACGCTGGATTGTAGGAAGCTATTTCATGGGTTCCTACAGCATACCTTTTTGTCGGAAATGTAATATCTTTAAAACTCACTATACTGTAGCTATGTGCAAAATACCACTGCACTGTTAGTTATTACCAAAAGAGCTTCAGCCTAACTAAAAAAGCCCATAAATACAAAAGTCTGCACTTGCGTTCGCTTCTCATGGCATTTTGTTGGTGGTGCCGTGCTCAAATTAACGGCCGTTGGCGCTGGCAGCGGGACGACCGCCAGCTGTTGCCCTCTGAGGAAGCAGACAGTGCAGCAGACAGTGCACACCACGCAACTGCACTAGCTGCCGCGGCCTCGCAGGCGGACAGCAGTGACGTCATAGAGCTGTCGACACGGTCCGCGCTACTGCCGAGAAGCAGCGGTGGCGGCCCGAGAACCGGTGAGGCATCACGAGCCGGCTCGGCAGATAACAGATTACGCAATCTTGCACGTTAGGGAGAGGTTATATCGCAGCACATGTTTGGCTTCCTCCGTTCGTCACTGTTATACCCGGAGTCGGTGTCCAACATTGTCGCTGCTGATGAGTGTCGCATCGCGTCACGAGCGTACTGACTCGTTGTTGATCAGCATCGGCCTGCCTGCCTCCAGTGGACGGATCGTCGTACGGCTACCAGCACCTCCACACGTCCGACACGTTCATGGACACGCTGGCCGACCTCGATCACTCCGTTACGGCCACCCCTGACGTCATCAGCGGTGACGTCACTGGGATAGATGCCGAGTTCGGCCGGACTGAGCGTCGTCACGTGCAAACACAGCGGCGGCGGCCGAAGTTGGTCAGCTTTAACGAGCCCGAGCGGCCGAGGCCGGACAGCGCGCCGGCTGGCGGTGATGTGCTCCAGGGGCTGTGATGTCGCGTGGCTCGCAAGCCAGCTGAGGTGGCGGGCCTCTGGCGCGTAGCGCACCCGGAGCGGGACGCCCGGCACCGGATGCGCTACTAGTCAGGTGTAGGAGACCCATCACGGACGTCTTTCGTTCGGTCGTCATTCCACTTGTACTCATCCCTCGCAACCCGGATGACAGTGGAATTTCAGTGCAGCAGTGCGAGTTTGGGAAGTGTTGATCTTGTGCTGTGTGGCTTGAGGCGCTTACGCGATACTTGGATCGTAGCTTTTTATTGATTCAAGCCTGGAGGTGGCAGTCCATCCACATGTAGGACGGCTTGTGCGTTTGGGTCGCAGTTTGCGTTGAATGCAGCAGTTGAGACTGGATGTGACACGTTAGATCACATGCTTCAACAGCGTTTCGAGCAAATGTGGCCTGCCGGTGCAGATGTGCGTCGATTTTTGTTGGTGGAGATGGTGGTGCAGGTTTCCCAAGTACGAAACCAACGGCTAAAATTCATGTAACCGCGGTCGTTAATGTAAAATGTACTTTTATAGAAGTGTGGGTTTTCTTGGGTAGGCTGCCGGTTACCAAGAAAGAGCTTTGTTTCCAATTTCAATAGCGAAATCGATTTCCGCGCCGGCGCGCAAGAACGCAGCGGCAGCACGTGTGGGAGGAAACCAGCCGCATTCGAATGTTACACACACATGGTGCCAAATACAGCCCCTACGACTAACAGCTCTCGTTGCATGAAATTTTCCCCTTTAAAGACATGTAAAAATGTTGTGAAAACCCCCGCCGCAATGCCGTGGAGTTTCCAGTTTGTTCTGAATGCTTTGCAGTTGGGTTTTGATTCAGACTGCTCTCTAGTCAAGACCTGTTGCGCTTATTCTGCATCGCTACCCCACCGCGCGTTTGCCCTACCGCGTGTCATTCCTGTGCCAACCAATTCAGTGAACCAGTTTGTCTGCCGTTTCGCCAGGACTGCTAAGGGTGTGCATGTCGCACAGTGTTGCGACACAGCCGCCCCAGGCTGTTATTCAGGTGAAAGCCTTGAGCCCTACCCCCATCATCTCCGCCCCCACCCCCTACCCCACTTATACCCCAGCCGTACCAACATGGACACAGCTGAACCGGATAACTTACAGCTGATTTTTTCAACTTGATGATGCACAATCTCAACGTTAGACATCTTCTTGATGACAAATGACACAATGCATAAACAGAAAAGAAACCATGACAAAATTAGCATAGTACACATTTTAGGTCTGTTTCACAACCTTGCTTCCCTTCTCTCATATGACCTTTGAATAGCTAAATCAAAAGCTAAAAACAATAGTGCTACAACTTCTGCCACATAAAAAATAAAATGGGCCGAATCTGGGAAGAAAAAGGCATTTTGTAATGTCCTGCAAGGATGAAACCGAGGCTGCCCCACCCCACTCACATACACACCTTTTACTGAACCACATCTTTGCACGGTACATCCACGCTCTCATGTCATTTGCATTACAAGCGAACACGCCAGTCCCGTTGTGCGATCTTCTCGTCACTGCGGAGGAGGAAACAAGACCAAGGGTTGTAGGTTTGGGGAAAGCTGCGTTCGGCCTGGAGACGGCACTTCGATAGCGTTGGTCATGAGTAGGCTGTGCCGCACGACAACCCGGCGCTGCGGGCCGGTATTCAACTATCCTGGTGGTCTTAATCGTCAAATGTTTGTTCACAACGTTGAAATGTGCGTATATCGCAGAAGTCATTCATTTTTTTAGTGAACACAGTCATGATATGTCTTACCCTACCTTGTCTTACGTCAGTACTAGCAACGGCCGTTCTGTGTCCACTGATCTCTTCACTGAGGACGTGGCCAGCCCGGCCGGAGCAGACTGTCGTGCGTCCTCGTCAGGGTCACATCAGCAGGGGAATGACCGCAAACGCAGCAGAGCTCATGTCTAGCATTCCATCATGCATTTGGATGCGACAAACACAAAAAAAGCCCGCAATCCACTAATAACCCCAAACCACCCAAGCGTGGTTACTTCTACAGCCAGAGGTCATTATGAAAAGACAAGTACCGTCACTCTCTGCCACAAAATGACGTCATGGGAAGAAGAGCGGCACATTCTATGTCAGTTCAGAAAAGACGGTGCTTCAAATCCGTCATTTTTCCTACTGATTATTTTTCCGGAGACAGCTGGGTTGGCGCGTTGGGCACCGCAACACGAAACATTTTGCACGCTTATGGGCCATGTAATGGTCATTTGAAATACATAGGTTCCTTAATAGCAAACTATGCGTCGTATGACAAGATTTATACTCGCCCTTATGGTGAGATTCGATGCGACCCTCCCAAAAAACATGTCTAAAGATTCTGAAAACGTGATGCTGTGTTTCATTGCAAATGCACATGCTACTGTCTTAAATGAGGCACAACACCTATTTGTGCTTTTCAATTACACTTCAGACGCGTACGATGAGATCAGCAATGCCAGTCTCTTGAAATCCTTCTAAATGCCTCAGAATTTTATTTTAAGCGGCCGCTCCTGCGGCAGAAATCCTTTTTGATTCCCTGCGCACCACTATGAAAGTAATCCGTTTCATTTGCCTCGCTTTTTCCAATGTGTGTGTTTTGTTATGTTTGCAGCGCACTAATGTGTTAATATATTTGGGTAATACATGCTACGTAAGTTTGAAACACTCTGCTCTATCCAAAAGATGTGCGAACATGAAGTTATTATCCGTCGAATTGAACGAAACCTTATACTGTGGCTTTGATTTCTTCCCTATAGCGTTTAACACAGTGGCTCTTTTTGAGGTGCACTTTGGCTTTGGGAAGGGGGTTATCACATAACCTATGTGACGCGCTGTTTAAAATATCAGCCAGCCAACTTACCGGCGACATGCCCTTGCCCGCCGGGCGAATCACAAACGTTCTTTTACGCGCACCAGTAGAACTGCTGACGGTCGTTGTCATGACGACAGTGATTGCCACTGGAAGGAATAAACGTGGCGCTGTTTCGAAGCGTCGGCAACGTAATTTGACATTTCCGTTGCCGAGCTCAACAAGCCTGTATTCTGATTGTGTTAGGCAATGAGGCACTCGATTTAAAAATTGAAAGGATATCGATACCTGCGCAGAAGTTTGACGTCAAAACAACCTGCCTCTGAATCTGTTCGCTGGGAGGGCGGCAGCAGCTGATCCGAAACGGACGGCCCATCACTGACGACACTGTCGTCTGCAGCCAGAGCCGGAGCGGCGTCATCAGACCGACAGGCCGGGGGACGGACCGGCAGGCGGCCCGACAGCAGCGGCCCCCACCACCGACGGCCGAGCTGGCAGCCTGCCGGGACGGGCCGGCCTGCGCACTGCACTCGGTGCCGCGCCTCACTGCCGGGCACGCCGACGGACGACGGCCGGCACACGGCGACCGACACCAGGTGGCAGCAGCGACGATCCACTCCTTTTTAAGACACAGTCATCCTCATATATTCATATATTTCGCTACTTCCTACAATGAATATGATTTTAAAGGTTATGTTTAATACCGCACAAAAGGCGGCGCTACACAAAACACAATATTGCTACCGTGTAATCATGCTTCGGGCAAAGCAAACATAAACGCAGCAGCACACAAGCATGATGGTGCTCAAAAGCAAGCATTGAGTAGCAGCCCCGTCAACAGGTGCTTAAAGCCATCAAGATTTGTAGAATTACATACGTCGGGCAGTACTCCACTGGAATAGCCTAGTGCACTGTAGCCCATGCAGCGAGCAACGGAATTGCTCACAGCACGAGATAGCTTTAGCAGGTTGGACCGCCGCGCGTCATGCGAGTGACTATCACGAGTGAGCAGCAGGAGTGAACAGCAGGAGTGAACAGCAGGAGTGACCACCACGAGTGAGCAGCAGGAGTGAAAAGCAGGAGTGACCATCACGAGTGAGCAGCAGGAGTGAAAAGCAGGAGTGACCACCACGAGCAAACCACAGGAGTGCGCAGCGCGGCCATTTCAGCGGGCTGACCGCTGTTTCAAGGCTGTTGTGAGGGAAACATGACGAGCGGTTCTTGACCAGCTGATCAGCGTTGGGCTATGGGAGATCTTTGGCAACATCGGGTACATGGCTTTCCAGTCTCATTCTGCCTAGCACTCGCGCACAGAAACCTAAGACTTGTCATACACGGTATAGTTGAATAGACCTATGAGTACTTTATAGTAAGATGCAGTATCTTACAGACGATGTAACAAGCGAATGACGATTCGAAACAGCGTATAGCTTTGGAGGCGCATGCTTCGCGTGGCAGCGCCATAAAGGTGCCTGTGGACCTAGCAACAAATTAGTGATTAGGTATGTGGCTCAAAGATGAGAGCGTTGTGCATCACCACACCCAGGTTTTTAGCTGTGCGACTTTCAGTGATGACATAGGACCAAATCTGATGCTCACAAGGAGCGGATGTGGCACAACATAGCCTTCGTCCTGAAAACAATCAATTGGGTTTTCGTCGCATTGATCCTCATAGAACGGATGCTGAACCAGTCCAGCGCAGCAGACAAAGGGCATTCCATGGTCGTAGTGCGCTGCCGCATCCGGCTCTTTTCTTTCTGATGAGGAGGATTTGTGTGTCGTCAGCACATCGGATCACAGAAACTTCCTTCGTGTGAAGTGCCAGATCTTTTAAAAATGAAGCAAACAAAGGGTTCGAGTGCCATTTTTCAAATATATATATATATATATATATATATATATATATATATATATATATGCTGGGAAGGTTACGAGAGCGCATTGGTTGCTGGGGTGCAAACGGAGGTAACTGCTGGCTCATTCGGCACTGATATACAGATTAAGTTTGGATAGGAGAAGATGGTGACTTACAACATCAAAGCACTTACATAACACAATCAGGACAAGGTGGGCGATGTTACCGCTATCCATTGCAAGGCACATTCATCAATACCATAACTGAATTTCCCTGGGATATCTCCGTGGAAAAGTAGGCTTTTTACCTGTGGTGTGTTTGAGAAGACAAGCCATTTTTTGCTGAGATAAAAACCACGCTGGTGGTGTTACCTACGACACACTCTACGCTTTTAGCTATACCTGGCACAGTCCATACTGGTCGATATTTAGTGCGATTATTCAGACTACTTGTTTTTGTAAGGGCTGTGACAGGCACGTGTTCCTACCAGCTTCGCTTCGTACCATCCATGATGTTGCTTTCCATGATGTTAACTAAGGAGCCGACTACATCACCAACACACTTCAGTGCAAGTTTTACGCAGCGGGGGCGCCTCTGCAGCGTTGCTTCTCTCTCCGAACCCGACACAAAGGTGGCGTGGGCAATGCTGTACTGCCGTTGTACTAATCACCGCTCCACGTAATCAAAGTATATGGATAATTGAAGGTACTACAAGTCCCTTAGCCACATGTTCCAGATTTATTTCTGCTTATGTGATAGAATACTGACAACATCGATCGTGCCAGTCGTTCTCATGAGTCAGGCAAATATGGATCTGGTCGGTCCAGCGCTTCTACCGGTCAGTGCTAGCGCGCTTCACGCATTCAATTTTCAGGATCCGGTCCAGTCCCGTCCGGCTAGTCCAGTTCCAATCCGCCCGCCCACCCGGTTTTTCCTAGATTTATGATCCCAATCCGGTCCTG